TAGTGATGGGACACCCAGATGACTTAAATCATTAAACAGGATTAGGCCCATTAACACAAGCCCAGTTACAAGATAAGTTAAACATAAGAATGGGCTAATAAGAACTCTTATCAGCCGAACATCACTCTAACATTCTAACACAAATGTGGAAATAAAAGCATGATTTCATGATTCTAACCACCATTTGCAAGAAGCATTTTGTTACCTTCACAAACTCCTAAAAAGCATGGTGTTGTGACTGTCAACCCAATGAATCATTCTTGCAGACTAAGGACCATACTTGCCAGGGCCAAAATGATAGGACCTTCCAGAAGTTTGTATTGGAGGAATCCTATGTATTTTACTTTTTGTTGTTGTTCTTATATTAGCTGCTATGGTGGCCATAATATTGTAATCAAGGATAATATAACTACATATAACCAAAAGAGTAGGCCCTTAAAGGAATGAACCCCCATACATCACAACCCCAACAAAAATGGGTGATCCATCAACTAAGGAACTGATGACTCTTGTTCTTCTTTTTCTATTTTTATTCTTTAGTTTTTAGTTTTTCTTTTGAGCAAAAAGTATCTTATACCATAATGCACAACATGCAAGTATCCATTGAAATATACATACAATTAATCAGCTTAGGGGAAAAAGGCATATATCATATATGCCAGTCTTGTTAATTTATGTCATGCTAATCAGAAGATATCATGTACAAAACTATGTGTAATACCATAATCAAACATCAGTATCACATTCAGAAGAAAAGATACAACGCCATATCAGCATATGCTCATCTTCTTGGACAAGAAATTCATTCTATTTCAATATTACCTTATTTTCATCAAAACCAAAATCAACCAAATGGCCCACATCTGGAACAGAATATTCTTCCAAACATTTATAGCTTTTAGATGACCAAATGCGCATAACCTAGCATCATTTTAATCAAAATAAGTAAGAGTTGGACAATATGGCATCTCCAATTAAGGAAGAAACAAAAAAGGGATTATCCCAGGTAGCAATTAACATTTCAAAATCATCTCAGGGATAATTACATTATGAAACACATTAGACAAACTAAATTCTTGAAAAAAGGTAACTATCATTTCATCAAAAGAAGATGGGATGTACATGAGAAGATGTACAACAAACAGGAGTAAAAAACCTGGAACCCACCCAGGAAACTACAAGCGCCGTGGGCATTCAAAAGAATGTCTGAAATACTTCTTTCCCAATTAAACCATATCATCTTCAGATGGAAACCATGAGCCAATTAGCTAAAAAGAAAAGTCAAGTAGAACTACATACTATGCTCCATTTTCTTGGACATTTTGGTTTACAAAGTGTAGAATGATCCTTATTGTTGTTAGGACTGTCTTTTCTAATAAGTTGTAACTAGGGGTACTTGTACTTCTGTAATTTTCTCTTATGTTTAAACACCCTAATATATAAGTCAGTTTGGGAACTGCCACTGACAACTTTTGCCAAAATATTCTTTCTTCTCTGCTGTTATTTCTCTCCTCTCTTCTCTTACAACCTAGACTTGTTATAGTAGAATATAAATATTGATATGCATCAACTGATACATACTGGTTTCTGCTCAAAGAGATAAAATATACAATGGAGTATTAGGATGCCACAAAATTCCTCGGTTTTAATCAGTATAAATGGTATTGTAACATCTCTATATCCTGTTCAGCATACTCAAGTATTAATAGTACAGTATCATTGCCCATCAATTATTTTCCCTTTTCTGCCGCTATAAACTCACAGTATCAATGATCTGAAGTCACTTCGGATCACCACCCCATTAGAATAGGATCAGAAATTTTTCTAAATAGTCCCATTCCCTTTAAATTTGAAAATATGTGGTTGACTCACCCAGATTTTGTTCGCAGAGTCAAGGAGTGGTAGAAGGAGGACCTAAGGGGGGTCAGGTGGGAGGGAATCAAATTCTCACCAAATCCAAAATTCCTCAAAACCTCCAAAAGGAAAGACCAATCCACTAAATCATACACCTTTTCCAAATGAAGTTTGCACACCAACCCTTTCTTTCTATTTCTGTAATCCTCCAAGCTCTTATTGGCTATTAGGATTTGATCAAGGATTTGCCTATCCCCAACAAAGGCTCCTTGATTCAAGGATATTAAGGAACGAAGCACTTCTCTAATTCTTCAAGTAAGAACCTTGGCCATTATCTTGTAGAGACTATTCACCAAATTGATGGGTCTAAATTAACTTGGATGAACTGCATCTGGATTCTTAGGAATAAGAGCAATAAAGGAAAGGATATCAAATACACAAACACAATCCCAGGATGAAGACATAGTTTAAAGAAAAACCCCATACCTTGTCCCTGCCACCAGTAAGAATCAAGCCCATCTTCATCCGGCACTGATGAACACTAAATAGAAACAAAGCTAGCATAAATGAGTAAGATCAACATATCAGAATACACAAGACAAATAGATAAGTCAAGTCAATATGGTACCAAAAGAAAATTGGCAGTATTGTACACCTTGTCATAGGCATATGATATAAGTATGCCAATGCTTATGTTTAGCAAGAAGTTGATACGTCATGTTCATGTAACATCCAACTTAAACCATTTGTATACATCTCTAACTGTTTCTTAGGTATACCAGTTTTTTTTTTCTTTTTTGATCATTTACATCCGTCTTTTCTTCCATGCATAATTTCTTTTGTTAAAATGCATACTAGATGAACCAACTCAGTATAGAGACACATCTTTTTATATTTTTAGTATAGACACAAATATGAAAATCTATAAATTATACTCTATAGACATATCTCATATTGGGTTTTCCAAAGTGACCATGTCATAACAACATGTAGCAGTATCTACACTGATCCATCTTACATATATAGGAACTAGTTAATAATTTAAGCTATCATCATTAAATGTTTTAATTATACAAGAATTCTTGTTTAGTAATGTTAATGTAGATTTGCATATCTTGCTTCATGTTAAACCGCATATAGACCACACATCATGCAACAACCATTAAACTAAGAAATGAAAAATGAAATGGATAAAGAAAGGAGAAATTCATAATACGACATCAAGACAACTACAGAAACTTACAAAGAAACATAAGGATGAAATTGGCAAGACAATCCGACAGGGATATTAAAATGGCAAATGGCTTGACCAAGTTCAAATATGTTATGTATAAATTATTTCATTTCCACGTATTTAATATATATAAACTATTTAGAAAAGCATAGAAATATCATCATTAGTGCATCCCCACACAAATCAATTTGATCTAAAGGAGTGAAAAATTTATCTTTTCATCCCTAAGCTAATTGTTCCATCACTAGGAGCCCAGGATTGATTCTCCACCCTAAAGTTCTGAAACTGCAATTTCCCTAGTTGTGGGGGTGTCTCACTAGTTATAGGCCCTATACCCCTAGACCTCACAATTAATAATAGGGATCACACCCCTTTACCTACAAGCTATTAGGTTGTTATAAGTAAGATGTTTAGATCTCATAGAAATGTGCCTAGACCAAATGGAAAATAAGTATAGATTTCACATTGCATGACCATCCTAGAAATCTATATTATATGAAATGCTTCAAAATGGACCATACCCATGTTGGAGACATGTGACCATCAACACCATCAAAAAAATCAAGGGACTTAAGGAGACTCTTCTATTTGTCAAGTCAATAATATGTAAAGAACTTCACACTCAGGGGCTAAAATTCAGGCATTAATCTGTCCATAATACCCAATAATTTAGTGTAATAAACTAGATATTATTCTAATTCTTTATGTTGCTTTTGACCTTTTGTTGATCTATGCCTCTACTTAGTTTGTTTTATTTTTTTGGTAATAAAATAAAATTTATTAAAATAAAAAAGAAAATAGATAAATTATACGGAGAAGTACAGACAGGCCCAATGCAGATTTCTGATTTCCACTGCAGAGCTATAAACATTCAAAATGCCAAAAACCCCCCACTCTACAAACCATTTCCCGCCTGTGAATTGGCATCAATTCCAAGCTGGCACCCACCCCAACTGTACTTCGGGCCTAAAAATTCTGACCCTGGGCTGAACCGTCATTCTCTCTAAATTATACAAGGAAGGTGACCAGAGATCACCTGTCAGAAAAGAAAAACTCCAGCCCCCACCCACCTCACCCTGACAACAAACAGTCAACCCAGGAAAACATAACAAAGTCAAAACTCCCACCCAACAAAAATATTAAAACAACCACAACAAAACAGATGAAACTCCAAGAAAAAACAACCCCAATTTGAACAAAAATCCCACTTCCATAAACCCAAAAAGCAACAATGAACCAGACAAACCACCAACCACCCAAAAAAGGCAGACCATGAGCTCTCTACTTCTTTTTCACAATCCTCCTAGGCTTCAGCAACTTCCTATTTGGCCCAATCCCAAATGAACCTTTTTTTCGGGTCTATCAGAAACATTTAAAACCAAGACATCTCGGTGCTTCCTCCTTCTAAATCTGTTAACTACTAGGGAGGTCTCCCTAATCAACTTTACGTCCTTAAATTCCTCATTAATTCTTTCCAGTTCTAACACTGAATTCTTCTCAAAAATGGCTTGCATCAGAGAACTCATTCTTTTTCCCGACAGATTTGATCAAACTAGACAATCTCTGATCATCATGACTTCTGCAATTGAGTAATTCTCTTCAGAGCCAACCTCATTTTCCATAACTGGCATAGGATGTTTTTCTTCCAACTCTCTGAGCATCTTCCTAATGCAACCCTCACCCCTAGGATAATTAAACCCAAATATATACAAACTTCAGCTTCTACATTCACAATCTTTTCCAGATCAATTGATTTTTCAATTTCATGTGTTTCATCCAAAGCAATCTCCTTGCCACTTGAAACACCATCATTTTCTTCCTCCTCTTCTCCTCTTTCTCTTCTACAGCTGCATTCTCATTCTGCTCTAGAACTGGAAATATTCTGTAATTTCTTTTTCTTTCTCTTTTGGAATTCTTTGAACAAGGACCTACTGTGTTCTTTTCTTCTTCCTCTAACTTCCCACTTTCGAGCCCTTCAAGCTCAACCTTTTGCTTTCCCCCATGAAACACCTCTTTATTTTCTCATTATCTTAGTTATCTTTTCCACTTGTCGATACAATATCTCCATCGACTGTACCACAAACAGGTTCTTCAAGCACCACCAGATCCTCCTACTTGGTCTGTTTTCTTTCCCAATAATTATTTCACAATCCATATAACAAAAAACTAAAATTAAACTATACCAGCTTGGGCTTGTTGAATCTGACACCCATACCCCTGTCAGATTCAGACACTTATACCTATGTCCACATAATAAAGCCAGCAATAATTGCAAATATTAAGCATAGACCTTATCAGAATAATACATATGGTTAGCACATTATAGACCTTGTATCACACACTAATAAGATTAAAAAGAGATATGACAATCAAGTGTCAATGAAAGTACCCAACAGAATGACCCTTCCATTGATCAATGCAAACAGAACCATCCCGCAGGGACAATCTATGCTGCTCCATAGCAAGACCCTCATAGTACATCTTCCATGATGTTTCAGAAAAATCTGATATATCAGGAAGGCATGCAGAACCTCTTTGCTGCTTGTAATATTGCTTTTTCCACAAATTACATTTATGGATGACATTATACCTGAGAAAAGGAAATGACACATATAAAGATCTTAGGGCAATGAACAAAAAAGAAAAAGCTAGAGGATGTCATCTTTAAAAGAAAAGAAAGAAACAACCAAATTTCCTTTAAATTGATTTAATTACAATTTTAGAAGCTACTGAAATTTCCTGTGCGAAATGAAAAATAAGTATCTCATATTTCCAGCTCCAGACATGGGTAGAAGTAGTAAGAGATGATTTAAGCACTAATAGTTTAACAGTGGATATGGTTTTAAATAGAATGGATTGGCGAAACAGTATTTACGTAGCCGACCCCATATAGTTGGGATAAGGCATGGATGATGATGATGATGATGATCTTTCCAGCTCCAGGAGTTAAATAAGCTCCCAAAGAACTAGTATTAACCAGTTTAAACCAGTGAACTAAGTGAATTCTCCTGTTCACTTATGTATCTCAATCTATGACTTTAATCTTTTAAGAAAGTTGTCATTTGAAGAATGCAGTATACTACTGAGCCCAATCGCAGTTCACTTGGATCCAAGTTTTAGTTGATAGGAGGATCTCAAATCAGTTGGCCATAATATATCTGCAAAATAAACAGCAAACTATATGGTAACATAGCCTTGCTATGTTTGGAAAAATCCAAAAAGCTGTTAATGTATTATTTTTGTTGATTAGGACCAAAATACTTCTAATTTAAGATTTACTAGGAGTTTATCTGATTCCATTCTGCAAATCAAAGGTAGCTGTTGGGCTTATTTAAGACTGATATGAAAAGCCTATCCAAGAACAGAAATGTAAAAGTCCTTTTTTAGGAATTTATAGCTTGTTCTTCTTGGAAAGTTCACTTAGGTTGCAGCATGAGGATTAGACCCAGAAGTGGGCTTCCTTAATTAACTTTGGATTCTCCTTTTCATTTTAAACACCTTAGTAATTATTTTCTAACCTGAAACAACCACAAAGTTCTCAAATTAGCAAAAGTCTTAATCAATTTTTCCAAAAGCATTCATTTAATTAAGCAGAAAAATAAGCAAATCTATTCATTGCATTAATAAAACAATCCTTCTTGGACATTACTCCGAATTAACATTTTTTTTTGATAGATAAAAATTCAATTGATTTCATTAGAAACAAATGATAAATAGTTCGTTACAAGCATCCCAATATGAGGTGCGAGGTGCAGCCTCACTCATTAATACAGAAACATCATAAAGTTACAATTGGGCCCAGTACAACTGTTCCCTAGTTACCCCTTGTTTAGCTAGAGAATCACCAAAAGCATTTGCCTCCCTCCCCACCCATTGTATAGTTACCTCCATCTGCTGAGTTAACCATTTGAATTTATTCATTTCATTTCTGTAAACCCAGATCATTGAATCTGGGTATTCTAGCCAACCCACCACCACCTTGGAGTCCCCTTCTATCACCAACTTTTCCAATCCTAACTCTCTTGCAATCTGTACACCTTGTAGGGCTGCGTACAATTCTGCCTTTAAGGAGTCTCCATTCCCCACTGGTCCTGAGAATAGTGCTCTTAAGTTTCCTTCCTTGTCTCTGATGACCCCTCCTATTCCAGCTGGGCCTGGGTTGCCTTGACTATTCCCATCGAAGTTTAATTTCAGAAATCCTTCAATGGGAGGAGCCCAAGCCAACCTTACCTTAACCTTCTGCAATGAGCTAGAAGCCACTAAAGGCCAATTCCTCCAAATATCATAAAACGTGAAATTTTTTAATAGTTCCACCGTTTGTAGCAGTGTATAACCTTAGTCATTACACACTCCACAAGTTGTCGTTTGCTCCTTTCTTTCTCTTGGAAGATTCTGGCATTTCTCTCTTCCCACAATGTCCATACCACTGCTGCTCTAGTGTACCTCCACATTACTCTTTCCCTCTTCTTCGGTAAAGCAAAGGTAGATGGGTCAAACAGCATTACTCCGAATTAACATTCCAACTCCGCTTGAAATTTAATCGATCCCAAAGCTATTTAACAGTAGTGTAAAACACAGAAAAATTTTGAATTTTTACAAGTACTATCCAACTCAATTTGAAAATTAAGTCCCCTTTGGATATCAGAATACTTCTTTTCAATATCTAGTTATCTACAAAATCAAGAACTCGGGAGTTCATTTTTTTCCTAGGATTCATACTCCTCTGTGACCTACTTATATGTCTACAGTGAAGAAAGAAAAGGAAACATTTAAATTCGATTATTAATTGGAACTTTGGAAGTAAGAAAGGCATGATAGGTAGGTAGAGAAAGACAAACCAGGATGTGCAGACAGCGGAGCAGCGAGCGAGATCGAACCAGTCGAGAAATGCGAAGATCAAACAGAGAATATCGGAGTCAAGAGACTGAATGGAAGTCCGTGAGCTCCTTTTCGTAGAAAACGGCCGGTTGGCTTCCATCGGTATCTTCCGGCCGAGCGGAAAGAGAAAAGCTAGAACACATGTACGCCCCTTTGTGCTTCCATGGTTACGTTGTCTGATGACACCTAAGATTGTGCGCGGCTTGTCGAACTCTCATAGGATATAGCCATGGCTCGTTAACCAAAAATTTTCGCTCCTTTCGTAGAGGAGGAAATGCTCCTCTTCACGTGAGGAAACGGATAACGTGACGTGGTTGTAATATCCACCGTTGAAAGGAGCGTTAGGAACGAAGAAAAAAACTCATCATCAAGATCTAGGGTTGCAAATTAATCTGACCGAGTGGGACATAGATCTAAACTTTATTACCAGCTGATGGATGGTTCAGTTGGTACGAGTCGTTTGCTCGTTCTAACTTCGAAGATCGAAATCCCTCTGCTACGACCGCAACATGCGTCCGATTCGGGGGGGGGGGGATGGGGATGGGCTACCCCTACTCTCTTAGTCTCTTGTAGCCGCATTAAGGCTCCGTTTGGTTTGTGGAAAGATTTAAGTGGGATGGAATAGGATGGAAAAGTGTAAAAATTCATATATATTTTTTTGTTTGATTTTATATTGGAAAAATAATTAAAAAAACATTATTCATCATCTTCTACTTTTGGACAATGCTGTTGGAGATGATGAATAATGCTTCTCCCAGTCTTCCACTACCTGCCGCACTGTCGCATCATTGTACACGATTACATTTCCGTGCAGTAGAAACGCGCACGCCCGTAGATCCCTCGAAAGCATCTCCCCAACAAAAGTGATCGTTGGGTTCAATTCGCAGATGATAGTTCACTGCCATTTGGAATGTGGTTACTATCAGCTTCAGTATCACTAGTTAATCTCAGCTTCAGTGTTCAATATCACTAGATTTCAACTAATTAATCTTAGCTTTAGTATCGCTGGACTTATTAATCTCAACTTCAGCCTCAACTGGTTATTATCACTATGTATTTCAGCTTCAGCATCGCTTCTCTATTGAAATGAAAGATTCTCACTTCGAGGGGCGTCAGTAGAGAAGTAGCAGATCGCCAATGGTTTTGGTGCGACCCCTCCAACTCCTACTTCTGGGTTCGAACGTCACTGTCACCGAACCAGCTCCTCTTCTGTATTTTCCACACAAACCGTTCCTCACTCCCTCCTCTTTCTCAAAATACCATGCGACCCCAAACCCATGATTTTGGGATCTGACATCCCACATATTTCTCATCCCATCCCTCTCTTTCCCTCAAAACAAAACAGAGACTAAATGGCTTCTTCCTTCTACAAGTGCCATCATTTTTTTTTTTTTTTGCTTCATGGAGCTACACAATAAGGGGTAGCCCATCCCCTTTCCCTTAATCCACCCCACCCCCAACCCCTAGTGGCAGCGGGATTTGATCCCAGGTCTCTACTTCAACGAGTCAGAGAACCTACCAACTGAGCCACCATCAGTTGGCCCTTCTACAAGTGCCATCCATACTCTTGTTACCTTCACCAAAAAAAGAATAATAACAAAAACAAAAATTTATTCGAAATAGGCTTTATAAAGTGAGTTATTATTTCAAAATAAACTTTATTTAATCTCTTAAATTAATTAAATAATAGATTTATACATCAAATAAATTAATAATCTAAATTTATAACATAAAAAATTGGTGTCAAACAAAATTTATTAGAATATATTAATAAAAAAAACTATTAGAATATTGGCATCCAATGATCAAAATTTTGATACAATACACCGCCTATCGAGTGTATTATATTGTATATTTTAGGTCCCGAAACACCTGTTTATAGGTTTTTTGGGACCCCTCTTTTTTCAGTAAAAAATATATAAAAAACTATCTAAAGACCAATTTTTAAAAATAAAATATAAAAGCACATTGTTTTTAGTATCGATACACCTTTGCCAATACACAAAATACTTTGAACCTTGTTGGTGCCATATTCAATATGGAGAGTCATTCTCAATTTGAGCCACCATTAGCTGGTAAATTTAAACAAAAAAAAAATATTTTATCCATGAGATTTATATCAAATTCAGATTATAATTGGATATTAAATAACATTTTTTTGCATAAAGACATTTAATAGTATCAATAAATTAAATTTAAAATTTATCTGAATGCTATATATTAATGAAATAAACTAAAAATGACTAATATTGTATTTCATGAACAAAATAGAATGATAATCACTTAAGACTTATGAACATATAGTATAGGGTTTATATTTTAAAATCAAACTGAATTAGATATTAGATTTTTTAAGTATTTTTTACCATTCAAAAAATGATTTACTGTTGCAAAAGTAAAAAAACAAAGACATGTTTTGAACTGTGATTTTTGTAATGATTTACTAACGGAAAAGTGACAAGGTTTTCTTGTGTTTTTGTTTTGAAAAACAAAAAGAGGATGGTTTTGTTTCAAATTAAAATAATACGTGATGGTTTTTAAAACCAAAAAAAGTGTATAGAAACCATATATATATATATATATATATATATATTATAATTTATGGGACATGATATATATTAAATAGCCAAATGAAAACATGTTCTTTAAACTAGAAATCCAATAACATGTTTTTGGTTAATTTCTTTTGAAAGCAAACCCATTATCGACATGATAAATATTGAAACATTTAGGCCAGGATTTTTTATTTGAGTTATTAGGGGATTAGATTAGGCTTAATGAGAGCCGAGAGCCCTTTCATGGACCTTAGACAGAAAAATAATAATTTAAAAGGTGTTGAGTGTGGGTACAGCCCATATGAGGGGCCCACCCCACCTTTTCATGCTCCCAAAAGGAGCCATATTGTGGAGGCCAAGAAGCTCCCACTTTTTTGTTTTAGTGTGCTTCCTTTTCGTAACTACCAAAGTGAGAAAGGAGAGAAGAAAATGGAGGGAAGAAGGAAGGTTTTTTGGGTTTTGAGTTTGTGAAGAAGAGAAGAAGAGAGTTGGTTTTTCTGCTCCATTCAAGGTTAAGCTCGAAGGTGTTTCAAGCCCGTTTTTGATGAAATTAAGTGCTAGAGTTAAGAATCCCACTTCAGTATAGATTTATTGATTCTTCCTTCTTCCACTTCTCAGTTTAGATTTACAGCAACTTGGTGAGATTTAAATCTCTGTTTTTGTTGTATCCACCTTACATTTAGTGGTGTTAATGTTATACTTGTTAGCCAATGATGATTTCCTTGATGCTTGTAAGTCTCTAGTTGCAATTAGAGAGGACTGTTGTACCCATTAATTTCTAAATTAGTGGAGAACTTTTACGAACCATAGGTCATGTGGTGTTTCCCCAATTTTGAGATTTTCCACATAAAAATTCTAGTGTTCTATTGTGTGATGGCTGCTATTTGTATTTTTCTGTTATTTGGCTGAACTGCTTATTTGTTATCAGTGTTGTTGACAAAGCCATTCTAAAATACAAAATCAGGGAAAAGTTTTTGTTGTCATGGGATTGTTCTTTAAACTCATTTTTGCTACTATAGTGTATGTTCCCCAACAAAAGGTTATTTACAAAACATGAATATCATCTTTACTACAAAGATTATTTACAAAATAAAAATATCATCTTTTACTAGCTTTGGGACAATGGGAATAAAGATAAATTAAATTCTAATATAAATGCCATAGTAGGTTTCCATTAGATGGTTGGTAGGTTAAGGGACTACCAAACTATTGAAAGTTGAAACTAGGTTATTGATGATGCGCAATCCGGCTGGTCCTAGCTGTCAACGACCTTGTCTCTGAACTGAGTAGCAGGGAACCTGAAACGGAGGAGATGAGGAAACTCCGGGGAGAACCCGGTGTAAAGGCTTCGAAGCTTAAGTTAGAATCCTTCAAAGGCAAGATAAAACCAGATAGTGCAAAGTTTGCATACCTCCTTTTGGGGGGAGTGGAGAGCTTTTTATAACCACCTCGCGCACTCACTCCTAGACTTCTGTCAGGCCGGGAATGAGTATTTCCGTGCTTCTGCCAGTTCGGGCGTCATCGCCTCTACTGGGGCAGAACCGTCACTGCTTCTTTTGTTGGAGCCATCTCTGTAACTGGAGGTAGCGGTGACAGGTGACGGTGGCAGGTGGCCGTTTGAAGTGCGGCCGTCAAGCGTCAGATCCCAAGTCAGTCAGGTGCGCCACTCCTGGATACGGACTCCTTCGGTGTCAGGTACGGTGTGGTTCGTCCAGTTCAATGCTCTGGAAGCGAAGTGCCTGGAGCAGTGCGTGAGGCGAAGTCTTGAGTTTGGATAAGGGGGGGTCCCGAACTGTCATAAGACGAGTCAGTTCGGGTCTCTGCTTTGTGTGACTTGGGGCCAAAGGGAGAGTTCTGACTCCTCGTAGGGAGTTTGAACTCTAAGTAGGGAGTTCGGGCACCTTGCAGGGAGTTCGGGCTCCTCGTAGGGAGTTCGAGCTCTAAATGGGGAGTTCGGGCTCCTCGTAGGGAGTTCGAGCTCTAAGTAGGGAGTTCGGACCGCTGGTCTCTTCCCTTTGGTGGTTGTATCCTCGGTACGCTGTTTTTGCCACATGGCGTGATTTGCGAGGTCAGGCCAAATCTTTCTTCATCAGTTATATCCAATCAAGCACCTCTTCAAAGGGCTTTCTTCTCCTCCTTTCTTGGGTTTCCCCTCTTTGCCCTTCTACATCCATTTATGTTTTGCTACAGTTTCATCTTTTAATGGAGGACCTAAGCTTCATGAAAGCTCCCATTATACTAGTTTTGGAAACCAAATAAAACACATATATAATCAATAACATGTTTTCTGTATTTTTTTTTTATTTTAAAAATTAATTTATTTTCAAAATAGATAGCTTTAATTTGTTTCTGAAATTCACAACAAGATAAGATAGACAATTTACATTGAAGAACGCCCCCTAAAGCATTGGATTTGAACTTTTATTTTTTATTCTAAAAGTCTACAGTATAAGCACTTGTATGATACATTATTTATTTATTTATATGTTTTATAGTTTGATGGCAGGCTGTTGATAGTGTGATGATATAAATTTTTTGCTGGTATGATATTTAGATTATTGGCTGTCAGGTTTAGCTTCTCTTCTACTATTTTCTGTGCCAGAAGCCAGGAGGATGTCTTACCATTATAGTTCTCTTTTTTCGGCAAAAGATTTCTAACTTTAAAACTTCAATGATAAAATATAGAAATCTAGAAATTCTTGTGGCGCAAATAGAGCTAACTGCTGAGATATATGTGTGTCTGAGAGCATTTAAAACTAGAATGCAGTAACAAGGAAAAATTAAGGGTTTTTCTTTTACCTGATGAGTGGGTTTTTGCTTTAAACAACTGCAATATTCCTGTACACTGCTGGGGTTGGTTATTAATTGGTCATCATAGGATTTGTTCTAGGACTGATCACCAAAGCACCGAAAGTGATGAAACAATATAATTGAGGGCAATTA